ATTTCTTTTTGAATCTGAAATTTTTTATAGATAATCCTATTAAATCGCTTATTTTAAAATATTACTTTTTATAATATAAATTATAATTTCTTACTTATCTTTTAACTGTGATACTTTAGTAATCCTATAGTTTTTGTCTGAGTTAATATAATTTTTCTATGCGAGCTTTTGTATCTAGGATCTCCTTTTAAAGGGTATTGTCCTTGATGTTTAGATGGAATTCTAGAATATAACCTATTAATATTTTAAAAGGAGATATACCTATTATTATATTTCTAGTAGTATTTATAGTATACTGTGTTTCTGCTAATAATTGTAGTTATACTAATAGTGTATTGCCTATAAAACATCGTAGATAATGTTTAATAGATTGATTTATTTTTTCTATTTATTCGTCTGTTTAGGGATAAAAAGTAGTTAATAAACGTTTTTGAATTTTTATATAAAAACAAATTAATAATTAAAATTTATTTATAAATAAAAATCTTTTATTAAATATGATTTTTTATAGAGATTCTGAAAACTATAGTTTAATTTTAGTATAAAATAATTTAGTTAGTTTATTTATTATAATTATTATAGAGACTAGAAAAAGGAATATATACTTAATATATTAATTAACGATCACTAGTATAGTATTAATTTTTTTATTGTTAAACAAGACTATTAGAAGTCCTATTACGAAATCTATTATTAGTTTTTTTATTAGTTGACTAGGAAGCGGGAGTGATTTAAGTTTTCCCTATGGCTTATGCCTTTTAATTATAATTCTTATATAAATTGGATATCTTTAAATATATTCCTTAATGTCTTTTCCTATATCCTTCTAGTAGAACTTTTTCTATAATAATTTTTTTGTTTATGATTCTTTAAAATAACCTACTAGGGGATTATTGTGATAAAGAGATAATAGTTCTTAACGAATTGTTATCTTTTCTAGGATATAAATACGATTCTAGTAGGTAATTAGATTATTATACCCTATAGCCTACTTTAGGTTCTTTATAAGGAAATTAGGGTTTTTTCGACATTAGAGTTCAAGATCTTCCTCTTAATCTTATTATAATAATTTTAGTAATAGTCTTTTTATATTATTATTAAAAGAAGTATTAATAAAGATAGTTTCGTAGGCTTCTTGTCTTAATACTTACTACTCTTTTATAATAAGGTTTTATAAATACACTACCCTTCCGAAAGGATTATCTCCTTGATCTACTATTAGATTCTATAGTTTACTTTATAATAGAGTAAGAAGTTCCTGATTTAAAGGCGATTTCTTTTTATAATTAGGTCGTCTTGACGGCCTATTAGTAGGATTAGTTTTTTCTGCTCGATGCTTAATCACAAAGTTATAAGGAGTTAGGTAAATGTACTATTTAGCTTGTCTGTTATTTAATTTCGGCTGTTTTATAAAGGATTAAAGATTTTAATGGTTACTCTAGACTTTAGTCTAACCTTAGGCACTTTTCATATAGTATCTTTAATATTTAAATACCACTATAATTACTAGTATTTCTTAGTCTAGTATGCTATAATTAAGCTTAGCGTCGTGAAATACCCGCGACTAAAAGGCTACTAGATACTATTTTTTTCCTTATTTGGTTAAGATAATATAATAGTAGTAGCGAACTTTAAAGCATTGGTCTCTATACGAATAGGCTTTTTCGGGTTATAATGTTATAGTAAAAGAGCGTTCTAGAAAGCCTAAATAAGCTAATAAAAAGCAGCTTTTTAATATTCCCTAAGTATTACCTAACCTAGTTTTTGCCTATTTTTATACCCTTTAATAGTTTATATAATAGACAAGCAATCATTGAATATTCTTTAATAAATTAATAATAAAAGTTATAAAACCTTAGAAAAACTTAGATTTTTTAATATATAATAGGTTCCTGTTATATTAAGATCATTTCCACTCGTTTCAGATTTATTATAACTCCTTTATTTAATATTATAAATCCTAAAAATTTAATTTTATTTTAAATAAAAGAATATTTATTAGGTTAAGCGTATAGCTTAGCTTTTTTTAGTTATTCTAAGACTTTTTGTATATAAGAAATATAAGATTCGCGATTTAAAGAAAAGATTAAAATATTATTAAAATAAGTAATATATATATAATCTAATAGATTATTTAATACTTAATAAATATAATTCTAAAACATAACTAGAGTATTAGTCAATCCTATAGGTATAACTAAAAATTTATAATAACTATAACAAGTGTGAAATATAGTTTTCTATTTATTACCCTTTTTAATATATATACAATAATATATATTTTTAATATTAATTTTAGTAAAATAATTTAAACCTTTAACTTAATCTATAATTTTAGTAATAAAAGGGAAAGGATAGTGATTTTTAATTATAACTTAATTTAATCTTCAATAGTCTATATATAAACAGAGACTTCTGTTTTTTTTTAGTATAAATAAAATAGGTGCGCCTACTGGACTTTTTAAAGGACAAATTTATCCTTTTACTAGGTTTTCTTTTAAATATTCTCGTAATGCTTCTAATTTAGCAGGGGATAATGGATAAATTAGACCATAAGGAGGAAAGGCTCCTTTAATTAGCTTAATTGTATAATCTGTTTGTTTAAAATAAGGAAGAATCCTTGTATTATCGACTAAAAAGATATTTTTCTACTTTTAAAAAGATATTAGGATTTATGAAAGATCTGATATAATTTCCTTTATTTTATCTAGAAGGTATAAGAGATTAAGGTTTATAGAAATAGATAAAATGTATATATGACTTGTATACTTTTTTTAAAATTAGCGCTTGGAAATCTTTTTTAGATTTTTTTAATTATATTTAAACTATTAGCTTTAATTATAAGGGTATAAATAAATATGAAACTTGGATAATGTAGTTATGGATAATAATATAGGACTACCTTATTCTCGAGGGTCTTAATTAATGCCTATATATAACCTTGTAAAGGTCTTGATAGTTCCCTGAGTATTTATAAGTTAAAGCAGGATTTCCTAGACTCTATAAGTCTTTATATCTTTTTCCTCTGTATCTTATAGGTAAAGTAGAATAACCGTTAAGCTTTTTATTAATTTATATTTTTTTATAAAAATTATACTAATAATATTAACTTCTATACTATTATTTAAATTAGTGTATGTATTATAAAAAAATAATTTATAAATTTTAACTAGAATATAAAAACGTGTGTGAATTATAATCGGGACTTTAGGAATTACCCTAATAGGTACTTAAGGGACTGTATAAGAGGATTTTAGTCTAACCCTGTTTTTTTTTTCTTATTTTTTTTTTTTTAGGAGGTAGAGGCAATTTATTGACTTTAACTTTTTGAATCTTTATAGAAAGTTAATTGCATTGATTTTTTAAATACATATTACTTCTGTAATTATAATATTACTTTATATTTCTATTAGTATTAAGTGTATTTTTCTTTAAGGATTTTTTTAAGTAGAAGATCTAGGAGATATTTATTTTAGTTTATTTTTTTTAATAGTTGTTTATAAAGTTAATAAAGCTTATTTATATGGTTTATTTTTCTTAGGAGAGTAATATAAAACTTAATGTGTTTTTGTTAGAATTGACTTTTTTTTCTTTCTCTTTTAGTGCCTTATGTTTCTTTGTAGGTTATAAAATCTCCTAATAACGTATAACTAATATAACCATTTCTTTATAGTTCTTTAGAAAGGAGCTTCCTCCTATAACAATCTAATATTATAGGTTCTCCTGTAGCTTTATGTAAAAGCTATAAGCACGCTGTGATTCTGAGGCTATTAGGAATTAACTTTTTAATAAGTCTAAGTATATATAAAAGTCTCGAGGAGATTGGTATTCCTGTTATTTTGCTTTTTTAATGGCTTGTATAATACACGGCTTATAGATATTTATATTCTTTAATAATAATATAGTCTAATTTTTAAAGTATTTCTAATTATTTTCTAATTTCTATTAAGCTTTAGGTGATTTTTAGTGTTTTAAATAGAGTTTTTATTAGGTTTAGTATTTAGTATTTATATAATTAACTTTAAAAAGAACCTTTAAATAACCTTTATGGTATTTTTTCTTTTACTTCGAAAATACTTAATATAAATTACAAAACTATTCCTCTTTTGCCTAAAAAGAGGCATTTATAGTAAGTATAGTAAGGTTTTTAATTTTTATATTATTATTTTTCTTTAAACTGTTTAATAAACTATTAGAATAATTGCCTTAATGTTATAATAACTTTTTAAGGTTTTTTTTTAATTGGCCTATTGTTTTACTTAACTTTTAATACTCTTTTAGTTAAGTGATTTTATTGTGAAGTATAATATTATTGTTTTTTAATTATTGTTCTAGAATATTAGGTTTTTGTAATAAATCTGAAAGTAACGATTGTTGAGTTGACCTTATATAACCTGTTACTTGCTGTTGTGGTAATTTATTTTTAAAGGATCTTTTTATATGTATTGTCTATAAGGTTTCTTGAAGAGGATCCGAAAGGTCCGTAGATCTCTGAGAACGGGTATACGGAATTATTTTGCTTAGGTAATAATACTAAAAAGCTTAAGAATTATAATAATATCTTATAAGATTACTAGGTAAGTAAGATTAAACGTAGGTATTATTTTATGTATAAGCTTAAGCTTATACGTTTAACTATTATGCGAGAGACGTGTGACTTATGCAGGATTACCCCGCATCTCCATTACATCACGCGTCCGGGTAATCTTCGGGACAGCGTTACACTATATTATAATTAGGAGATTTTTAATTATATTATAGTTATTAGGATTAAAATTGGATAATAAGATAATTTATGATATAGTAGCGAATTGTAAATAAATACTAAAAGAATATAATATTTTAAAAACTATTAGGTTTATTAGTATTAAAGGTATATATATAAAAGAAAATATATTATTATAATATTAATATAGCGGATATATATTATAATTTTATATTATTAATATTATTAAATTTTTAATAACTAATATATATATTATTTAATAAAAAAAATAATAGTTTATATAGTTTAATGGTATAACGCTTGGTTATTTAGGCTAAAAAGTATAGGTTCGAATTCTATTATAAGCGTAAATTTTAATTGTATTATCGTAAAGTAATATAATTATAATTTTTTACTATTTTTAATATTAGAACAATTATAATCCGTAAAAAAATCCTACCTTATACTTATTAAATCTATTAAGTTTTAGACTTTTTAAACTTAACTAATTAATAATTAAGAATAGCCTTACTTGATTGATTGATTGATAGACTTGATGACTAGACTTGATCGGGATGCTGCCCTGATTCTAAGCCCCGAGGTATATGCTGGGATTGATGGTAGTGAAGACGTAATCGTAATGCAACTTCGAGGCAATCTCGTTGATTGCACGAGCGCCAATCTGTCCACTGAATGGACAGCCGGTGGCATGGTTTCTTCGGTTTTAGATCTCGCCAAATTTGCAGCTGCGCTTCGGAATGGGAGGCTGCTCAGTCCAGAATCCCTAGCTATCATGAAAGACTGGCGGCCGACGACAGGACCAAACGAAATAGGCCACGGTCTTTTCAGAATGAAACGTTCTGAGAAAATTAAATACACGAGTAATGTTGGAAAGCTTAAAGATAAACTGTGAATTGAAGATGGGTGCGGCCATCAGATCTCATAGTGACCTTAATTAATTGAACACCCTTCATCATGAAAGGTGTAGGCTAGAAGAAATAGGCGAGGGAGGAGATTGTAAACTCTGAGTCAGTTTCCACCAATCGCTATTCCCTTTAGTCAAGCAAAAGCAAGGATCATATCGAGATACTGTAACCGAACCAATGGGATAAGCTTAGTTTCAAGCCTACCTCCACCGACGTGGCGACGGTGGCATTCATTTACGAATCTTTGCATGTCGCTAACCGAATGTGGCGGTTGGAGAAACCTGGTAACGTCGAGGGGTGGAGATGCGGGAGGCCCAGAAGGCTAAACCTTTGCAAAGCTCACGAGATGGGGAATTCATGCGCGTGTGGACGTTACACGGCATTCTACTTAATGGAACTTGGATCCGCGGTTGGAAACAGTTGCGGTTGTGTCTAGAGCAGCCACATGTCGTACAGCATCATGCTTCGAACCACCAGCTCGACGCCCATGATGCATCATGATGGCAACTCTTCAAGTTCACGCACGACAGATACCGAGGCTAATCTGATTGCCAGCCATGGCCAAGACGATGATACTCGGATTCGGCCGGGGAAAAGATGAGATGGCGCCGAGACCAATATTGGGGATCGCTACTCTTTAACCTCGCTGCATTTATCCTGCCCGCTCTGTACGGCACCTTGTCCAAGCTCTGGGTCGCCAACATTGACTCGTCCATGGTGGTGACGACGGATGCGTACACGTACATGAACACGGCGGCCGAGGCCTTCAACGAGGGTCTTCCGCGAGCAGCCTGGGTCATCATCGGAGACAAGTCCTCGCGAGAAATAGCGAAGCGTCTTCGTCTGACCCATACCCTCATCGCTTTCCAGTCCATTGTGGGCGTCATCTTAAGCGTCGTGTTTCTTGGAGCAGCGTCCACGTTTGCCGACAGCTTTGTGCCGGCCGAAGTGCGCGCGGCGAGCTTGACCTACGTTCGCATCATCTCCTTTACCGTCTTGGGCGGCACGATTGAGACGGCGGTGGCGTCGGCGACGAGAGCGTTGGATAAACCTGACGTGCCGTTGGTCATTAGCTCCGTCAAGTTTGCCATCAACATCATCCTGGATCTTCTCATCATTTCCCGTGTTCACGTCGGGTCCTTCAAGCCAACTGTCAACATGCAGGCCATCATTCAATTGGTCTGCTCATTGACTGCAGCGTTTGCTGGACTGGCTTACTTCCTCTTCTTTGTCAGCTTCCGTGCCACCAAGGAATCGCGACGACATCAATCCGAGGACCATGTTGAGATGCATGGTAACCTGATGCCCAATCTTGGGGATTTGGTTGTTCTTCTTCGTCCGGGTCTCATATTTTTCGCCGAATCCGCCATCAGAAATGCACTGTATCTCTGGCTCATCACCACCATCGTGGCGCTTGGATCGGTCTACTCCACGGCATGGGGCGTGTTCAACACCATTCGTTGGGGTCTGGTCATGGTTCCTGTCCAGGCTCTCGAAGCCACCGCACTTCAATTCATCGGCCATCATTGGGGCCAGTGGAGGAGGACGATCGGCATTGACGTCCTACGGCCCAAGGCAAGCTGGAGAGATTTATATCCCATTGTCCTTCCAGCCCTGCAATCGTTCGGCATCGCCTTGATTGTCGAGGTTCCAATGGCCATCTTTCTCTCCATCTTTGGCACGCGACCATTCGCGCACTATCTCAGTGGATCGGATGAGGTGGCCGAGGTCACGGCTCGCATGTGGCGAACACTGGATTGGTGCTACATCTTTTACGCCATGTCTACACAGCTGGCAACGATTTTGCTTGCCACACGGCCAAAGTGGTATCTATACCAGAGTTTAGCAAGCAATCTCCTGTATGTTTTGCCTTGGGCAATAGTATGCCAGGTCGTTGATCTGGATGAGAAGAATGCGTGGACATATCACAGTCTTGTATTCGGCGGCAGCTTAGTGTTTAGTTTTATTGACATACTCATTGTCAACGGTATATGGGCTTGGACATTGTTGAAGGGAAAGGCGAAGCTGGAAGTGTTTCGCCAATAGCCCGTCGCATGTATTTCTCGTCTTTGTCTCCTTGTTTTTGAATCTGGCGCAGAAGAGAACCCAAGTGTTTGCATTTACTGAGTTTGGATGTGCTACGTAGAGTGGTGGTTTCAATGATGCTACTTGATACAACACACCTCACAATTGGCCAGACCAAACAACCCCAACCAGTTATTTCCAAAAGCCTTGATGGTAGCATAAGCGAATATGTTTGCGCGTCAACTCGTATGTGCCATGTGCGAAGGATGTATATCCAAGTGTTCAACTAAAAAAAACCCCCATGGACTCCCCCTCTTTTCTCATCATGTTGTCTCAGCTCCTCTTAGACAAGCTTCAACCATTTTTGAGAATGGTCAACCCATAAATTCGCTTGTTTCAAACTCTCCGTCCTAAAGACTCCGACTCTCTTATAAACTGAAAGGCCCGTCTTATCCACATCATTAGTTTGAGTGACAAGGAGGCCTATAGGGAATGACGGTGGAGAGAATTTCCGCTCATCCGGCTCACCATCAGGGATGCAAGCAAGAGCGAGAACAACTGCTACAACGTCAACTATTCCACTGAGCTGGCTTGCTTCAATCGGCTTCCATGTTCCGTCTCGACCATATCCGGAGGGCGTCGCAGCATCTATTGACCCTTTCGCTGCAACTACCCCATTGCTGTGCATGACATCCACAGGGAAAGATTTATCATCATAAAGAGGATCAATCACCAGTCGCAGAGTAACTGGATACAATGAGGCAGAGAGAACGATCCAACCATCCTTGAGCCCACCGAATGTGTCCACCCCTGTGGGTACTGCGTGGACTTCCCGAGTGGTGCACTGGCTCACAAACGGCTTCACGCAATTCATGTCCCAGTCAATTTCTCCCTGCCATGCTGCCCAGCTCCATGATGGCGCTCTCCATGTAGCTGGTTTAGACGCTTCAAAGGTGGTCGCCCAAAACATCCCACGCAACAAATCACCCCTCCAAAGTCCAGCGACGTATTCGTCATCAAGCGCGGGACTGAAGCTACGAGCCAGACCAGAAATAGCCGGAAATTTGTCATCACCATAGGTCAGTTGACGCTGTGTATATTGACCGACCAGAGCTCGCCATGTTGCATAGAGATGCTCCCTTTTCTTTTCCTTTTCTTCGGGGGATGAACTCGCCGCGGGCGGCAAAAACAGAGCGTGCCAGCCACGAACATTCGTATAAGTGTTTTCGTTGTGCTCAAGACGACGCTCGGTCTGGCATCGGAAGAAAGAGGTCTTGTCATCAAAGTAAAGGACCCTCGTGGACATGATGTCTTCCTGGAAAGTCCAGCCTCGAGTTGCCCACGTACGAGTGCGTACGTGGGTAGGAAGATCAGCATCCCAGGTACGGACATCATCCAAAGACGACAAGAGGTACGTCCCTGACACACGAATACCTTTCTTGCGTGATTGGAATGGAACAATGGCATAGGGCTCAACCTTGGTTCGGGAAAGGAACCCTGAATGAGACGAGTCCCCCGCGGCTGCGACGACGGTAAGATGGGCGTTTCTGTACACGGAAAACATGGCTGCCGCCTCATTCTCCCAGTCGACCGGGTCGCCTTGGATGATGCACAACGCATCGATCCAAAGATATCGTATGCCCAGGCGACGTGCTAGGAAAACCAAGTCCCGAAGGGTTGCTGGCATGATGCTTGTCGGTATACCTAGTTGGTGCTGGGAAAATGTATCCTTTGTAGTTTTGAGGTAAGGTTCGGCCGGGGACTCGAGTCCCCAGCAGTAGCTCAGGGCAATGTAGGGCATTGACTCGTGAAGCGATGCACCGGGAACCAGACGAGGAACAGAATTGCCAGTGTCACCTACATCCAGGAGTCGAGTAGGAAGACTTCTTGGACCTGAGGCTTGGCACTTTGTGTGCTCATCGTCGCATGTACGCAGCCATTTCTTCAAAAGGTTAATACAGGCAGGATCAAGAGCATCCGAGGGTGGCATTCGCAGAGAGATGCCCAATAATTCTGAAACGTTTGCTATATCTCACATTACATTGGTATCTTGACACGCAGCAGCATAGGATCTAGCAACAAGCCACGGGGACATACCATCTCCCTGATATACCATAGCTACCTGCCTCCACGGATGTGGCCAAGCCTCTGACTCGAACTCCAACTTTAGTCGCCAAATTCCATCCTTCTCATTGTTGTAAGTATCATCCGTCAACTCGGTCATGTAGTGGCTGTATTCCGCAACTTCGGACCTCATATCATAGGCGCGGTGTTTCAGTTTAACCGTTATTTGCTTTCCAGTCGCTGCTGTTATTTTATTCTTGAGCTGTACAGTGAGTCTTTTCTGAATGAAGAAGCATAAATACTTGCAGAATGTGCATCCTGCTTGAGCTGAAGTGCTAAATATTGGGAGGTCG